AGGAGGGAGGAGTAGTAGTAGTAGTAGTAGTAGCAGTAGCAGTAGTAGTAGTAGTAGTAGTAGTAGTAGTAGTCGTAGTAGTCGTAGTAGTCGTAGTAGTCGTAGTAGTCGGTGTAGTCGTGGTCAGGTAGGTAGGTGGGTAGGTGGCTGCCACCTTCCCCGGCCGATGTCCCAAGCCCGGATGCAAAAAGGTGGGTAGGTGGGTAGGTGGGTAGGTAGGTAGGTCGGTAGGTAGGCAGGTAGGCAATGGCAGGCAAGAAGGCAGGGAGGCAGGCAGGCAGGTAGGTAGGTAGGTAGGTAGGTAGGGAGGTAGTTGGCAGGAGGAGGAGGAGCAGTAGCAGCTCCAGCAGTGGCAGTAGATCCAATCAGATATGGTGCGTCTGATTCGAGATAGCTAAATGGTGTCCAGCAGGCTCGATAAAAGCATGATAGACACGTATCTCCGGGAATTCAGAACCCGGCGGATGGTCGCTGAAGCCTGCAGAGCAGCTTGGCAACCTACAGCGGTGAACCTGCTACCGGCTAACTACCCGGCTCTCTCCTTATCAGTACAGTCTACGAAGAAGGTAGAATGAGCATGGTGTACAGATGCATGTGTGCGACTAGAACATGTCTATCAGTGCGACCGTTCGAGGACATCCCCCTTCGTTCCGTACAGCCGGTGTTGCTGCGTTTTGCATCATAGAATCGTAATGCCGTGGTCGCTTCATGATAAGCTTGCCAGGACTACAACCTCTGAAAATTGTCGTTTCAGAATCGTACCTAGGAGCACGCCATATGGGAACGTGACAGCCGGGTTCAAGTGGTGCATCAGTTGACCACAACCTCCTGCAATGTTTGGAGCTGTGGTGGCGTGCAGTTGTAATCGAAATGGCTCCAGGAAGTGTGTGACAACTGGAACGCAGCCTTTTTGTCTGTACAGGCAGAAGACACGACTATCCCGACCTGGAGTCAGCACATTCTCACCAAGAGCTGTGTTCGAACAGTTTCCCAGATTCCAATTCAACCCACAGCCAGGCGATGACTCGAAAAAGAGTGCTGTCCTTGATTATAGCACTGCTGCCTGACATGACTTTCGTGTTGCTCTGAAGCTGAAGCTTGACAGAGTGAGTAAGCCACCTTGTGAACTCATGTCCGGGAGGTTCGTCAAACTTGGTTGGCTGACCCCGACGGCTTCATGCTGGATCCAGCGAAGCTTTGCGAGGATTGTTGGCTGTGCCAGACTGCTAGAGAAGGCCGCAAGGTCCGCAAGGGGTAGCTTGTCAAGAGGCGGTGCATCCGCAGCCCCCATGCCTGTGCAGCAGTGTTTGAGATGACTCATGACTCATTTTGGACGAGTTTGCTCGTGCACAAAGCATGCTCCGCAAGTGCAGTTCCTGACCTGAGCAGGGACATGCAGGCAGACAGTGAAGCACTTGGGGACACGGACTTCAATCTGTTCTAAGGAAAGATCCTTGGGCTGAACATGGCCCCTCTGAGATCCAGCAGCTAGAGGAGGCCTGCTCACGGTCAGTCGAGACAGCGTTGCACACGCGTGCCTTGCCAGGATCACGCCACTCGAATTCAGGACAAGCTCCGTGATGTGGGGAAGGGCGAGCAGCGCAACCCGAAGCCTTCTTCGTCCAAGTCGTTGGTGATGCTGTGTCCGGGCAGGAGCTGCGAGAGCGCGCTCACCACCGTGAAGAGGAGGTTCGAGAGGCATTCGCCGCTGCACGTAGCAGTTTTGTTCCTAGAATCGCCTTGCGAAGGGGCAGTTCTTGTGCTCGCTCATCTGGACAGGCAGTTACCGCCAAGGAGGCTGCACAAGCCGAGCTTCGACGATGCAAAGAGGAGACACGTTTGCAACGGGAAGATGAACATCTACCACACTCGAGCCCAAAAAGAAGAAATCATGAAATTGCGACGCAGCGAAGCTGTGGTCTCAGCAGGGGCTCCGAATGGGTGCTGGTGACCGCATCTGGCAGGAGCTGGAGGCCGCCCGGATCGAGCTGACCCGGCAGAGGCTCACCAGTTTTGGAAGCAGGGATCTCTACACTCTGTGAGAAGGGACGGGTGATGGAATTGCGCCGGGTCCGTGGTCAGGAGTGAAGACTTGCCCAAGCCTGCCGTGGAGGCCACTGCTGGCGAGAAGCAGCCGTGATGCTGTTGAGACTGTTGACATGCTATGGCTGCTACGGCTCGTTACTGCTACGGTTGGAATTGTCAGTACCTGTTACCAATCGTCGGAAACTGCACGTGCCGAATAAGGTTTGTGAACAGCTTGTCCAGCGGGGCCACTGGACATGCGGCAATGACTGGGGTCCGACACCTCTTACCACCAGCAAAGAATTACTTAGCTATCTCGCGGTCTAGCATTGAGCTCTACTGGAGAAGGTTTGTCGTAATTAGATCAGGAACTGAAATAGGTTTCAGTGGAGTTTGCCGTTGCCATGTTTGCAATTTGACCCAGGCCAAAGCTGACTGCCTCCGGCGTTCGCTGATGGCCTCTGGAGGTGATTCGGTGCCGTGTCTAGCATCCCGTTTGTTTGGCCGAGCAAAGCCACGCTTGCTCACCGACGTTTGCAGGCTTGCGCAAGGCTCTGGACGCCACGGATGCGGAAGGCCGTGTTTCGCGGTGCTTGGAGTTGGCCCGCGCCAACAAGGCCTGGAGATTCAGCAACCAGACAGAGACAGACAGCCAGCCAATGCCAGCCAAGCAGGCAGACAGGCAGCCAGACAGACAGACAGACAGACAGACAGACAGACCGACACATGCACATACGTACGTACATACTTCACGTACATGCATACATACGTACAGATAAATATACATATGCTTATACTTATACATATACATACCAGCAAGGGAGATGACACCCTCAATGCCCAAGGGAAAGTAGTGCTTTGGGTTCTGGCTGGATGTGCGGCTCCTGCAAATTCTGTGGTGCCCGTGGACGCCGAATGACTTTCAGTGTGAGTTTGCAGTGACTTGTTTGCTCATGTCCATACAGAACTGAGCTGAGCTGTCGTAAACTGCTGTACTGTGAACGTCGTCCTTGGCTGTTTGTGTGCAGCTGGAACTGCCCGTCTGGGGTATCACTGCTGAGTCTCTTGGGAACTTCAAGGGTCCTCAGTATCTTGCAGCATCGACGACCTGCTATGCAGTGTCTGCGGACAGTGCCACGTGGGAGCCAAAAAATACATATACAGTTATACACATACACATATAATATACATATACATACACACTTGTACGCACGCACACACGGGAAGCAAGCAAGCAAGAAAGAGAGAGTAGAGAGTAGTGAGAGAAAGAGACGTGCTCAGTGCACACGATCTTGGAGGGGAAGGTCTCAAGCGGACCGTCCGAGTTCTGATAGTTGTGACACTTGAAAGCCTGGACCGGAGACAGCTGCCCTGATCGGTTTCTGGTGTCGGTTGCCAGTACTATCAGTTGACTCAGCACAGCAGTCATGTATGAGTTTAGTTCGCACTGCAGCAGCAAAAGATCTCTCCGGATCCGAGCACATTGAAACTTTGCACATTTCTCCACCCCTCCGACTTCCAGCTCCCATTAGCCGACACCGCGGCCTCTCACATGGCTGAGATGTGCCCCGACGCCGGAGTGGAGGACCGAGGGGAAGCAGAGATCGGCAGTGTTGCCTTCTACAAGCACTGAATGTGGTGAGCTCCGACATGGTGGCTTTGCTTCTGCAATGCAAGAAACGATGAGAAGCGTTTTTTTTTGGCCAGGAGCTCTGGAGAGACTTCCTTTCCTGGGCAGAAGCCGGCGGTGCTCAGGGCTTGGATCAAGTGATGCTAGGCAGCATGGGATACCTCTACGACACGAGCCCTCTCAGGCCTTATGCCGCTTGCACACTCGAAGTGCTGTGCCAGGAGAATTGCTTTCGTGGCAAAGGACGATGGCCCAGTGCGTGGGCTCGTGGCTAAACGAGAGGCACCGAGATCACTTTCTTGGACACTTGAGCGAGTAAGAAGCGAGAAGCTTAGTGGGTAGTAGCTACAGTCCCGGCAGTGCATCGTGCTGCGGGCAGCAATGTGAAGGTCACCTCTCCGATCATTTTGCCAAGATGCCTGCTGCTCACGGCTTCTTCGGAGTCGGAGTTAGGGATAAAGCTGGCCTTGGAGAAGAAGAGGACAGCGACGGGATGACGCCTGCATTGAGAGCCCGCGAGATGACCAGATGTGAACTTGGTGTTTCTGTTTGCCAAGTCTAGGGCAAGTCGCAGCAGTGGCTACGCACTGGGTTTGCGAGGATGCTCAGCGGTTTGGGGAGCTTTTGGTCTCCTTGGATCCGGATTTTGCCAGACAAGGCCGGCGTTCTCCGAGTGAAGCAAGCGAGGAGAGAGACTTCACCAAGAACTCCTTGGGGCTCTGTAGAATTTACCACGCGCTCCTGCTTGGCATGTTCGCGCTCGCCAGGCAGAACTGCAGCAATACCACATAGCGTATGCAACCGGGCAGCAACTTCGGCGTCCTGCTCTTCTCACAGGTATGGCCTGAAAAGCTTGATTTTGGTTGGTTCTGGGTCTCAAGCAGCGACATACTTCACGTGTCGAGTGCGAGTTCTGCTTCTTTCAATCCTGGCCTACTTCGTTTCAGTCAGGGCTTCCAACCATCCTTCATTCCCGCTTATTTCAGCTAGTGGCAGCTAGTGCGCAAGTCTCGTGCCCCGTGCTGAGGCGTCCGAAGAGCTCCTGAATGCCTTCCACGAGCTGCCGGTGGTCGCAAGAACCCGAGCCTGGCATCAAAGCCTCGCCGAAGACTGGCGTAAAGAGGCTGAGAATTGGCAGCAACAGGCCGAACAGCCGCTCGGGCCGCTCGTTGAGAGGCGTTTGTGAGGCCCCTGCCTTCCAAGATTCCATGCCCTGCTCAGGATCGGACCCACCGCCTTGACCTTCGACGACTTTTTCTGGGCCTGCACTGTCGTAAAGACACGCGTGTACTTGCCTCCTCCAACGCACTCTTGCCTAAATTGCCGCAGTTTAGATTTTTCATGCATCTCCGTTAGGCTCAAATCCTTTTAGCATTCATGTTGCGCGTCGTGGCTGGGGCCTGCTTGCATCACGGCCAGAGGTATTGCTTCATGCCGCTCGCTGACATGATGAACACGGAACCTGAACCCAACATGGACGTGTATGACAGTGGCCCGGATGTTTAGTACTGCAACACTGTAAGCGTTTGGTTCGCTGCGGCTTTCGAAGTAAAACGCGAAGCGCCGTGCTCGCCGTGATGGAGCAAAGCTGTGGGTTGCAGTTCGGTGCAATAGGATAGCCTTCGGTCATGCAAAGGAAGGTGCATCGATCCGGCTTGCCAGTCCAATCGTAAATAGTCGAGCTGTTGACCCCAGCTCAAGGCTTGGAAGTTGATGCCCCCGGCCGCACGGAGTACTACGGGATCCTCCTGCGAGATGGCTGCCGTGTCAGCGCGGGGCAGGAACTGACGCAGGTGCACAAGCAACAAATTACATCCCGCCTTACTGCCTTGCGGCCGAAGCTCCGGATCATCGAATCGACAGGCCTATCGACCTGTCGACAACTCCGAGCGATTGTTCAGGCGGGAGGGCTGCCAATGCGGTCCGCGTGGCTGTTTTCGTTTGGTGCCTTGAGGGGCGGCTTCTTGCTGAAGGACAACCCGGTGGCGGTCCCGCGGCTGGCCATAAAAGTACCAGCGTCGGAGGTCTCTCCAGGCCGATTGTCACGAAGGACACAGAAGTGGCGACATGAGCCGGAAAATCGGCGATGCCGGAGATTATGATGACGATGATGATGGTCATCATCATTTGATGATAGTGTGGATCGTGCCGGTGGCGGTGGTGGGGATGATGGGGATGGCGGTGTCGAGCATGATGGATGATGGGGATTGCCACGGGAATAGCGGTACATTATGGAAGGTAGCCTTCCGCATATTGTGGGCATGGATTACATTCAACATCAAGCCAATGGTAAGCCAAGTCAGTCTCTGTCCTCCAAAGCAAAGACTTGAAATCGATGGCAGCAGTCCTATACACTTTCGGATAAAGCTTGGGGTCACGAGATGAGCTACCCCTCCAATGCAATGCGTTGTTCTTCAGGTTGGTTGACGTCCAAGCCTGTTTCAACACGGCTCAACATGTCTTGCAGTAAACGAAGTGAAGCGATTGCCGAAGTACCTCCTGGAACCTTTGCGTTCTTCAACCAGGTGTCTGATATACCTCCCCTGCAGAAACATGGCCAAACGCTCCGAGCAAAGGACGTGAAGATGCAGCTGCCAAATCGGCAAGTTTGTTTCCGAACAGAACGAAATACCGAACACGCACATGTAACTGCCTACAATGTAAGAACTCCGTATCTATGTATGTTATATTCAATATAGTTGTTTATGTGTATAGTTGTTTATGTGGATTATTTTATTAATGAGTTAATTTTTGGTATATATATATAGACATGTGACATGTGTGTGTGTGCTTGAATTTACACAGGTAGTTTTTAATGTATCGGTGTGCATATGTGAACTTTTTATTTGTATATCCGTACATTGACTTATTAGATACACTGTGATGTCAATATATGAGTTTTATATTCACATATTTGTTAACACATTAACTATCTCAATGTACAAAGTTACATATATTGACAGGTGTATGTATGCATGTATGTATGTAATGTAATGTAATGTAATGTAATGTAATGTAATGTAATGCAATGCAATGCAATGCAATGCAATGGAATGGAATGGAATGGAATGTAATGTAATGTAATGTAATGTAATGTAATGTATGTATG